AGTAACCGGGCTTGGCGAGGGGCCAGCCATTTCTGTCCTGAACGGGGAGCCTCGTGGGCAGTCTGTGCTCCTGAGCGCTTCTTTATGTCAGCCAAGTCAGCCAGACAGGCCTCAGGGTCTGCACTCTCCCTGCCCAATACTGTCCCCTCCCCAAGTCATCTCTCGTCTCTCAATTGTGTACTAGTTACCTCTCAATAAATCTGCCCCACAGCACTAACTCTGTCACAGTATCTGCTTCATAGAGTAGCAAACTGACAGAGCTTTTATGTAGCCAGGGCTTTAATTAAGGCATTAGCTGGCAGCATTTGTTTTTACTGACATACATATATAGCATAAAAATGGCTATACTACAGGGGACAACTATTGGTAAATCTTTTTTCATCGATCCTTGGATTGATAGAGTAGTAAGTGATTGAACTTATGAGAGCATAAAAGCGTCCTCATCCTATAAGACCTTGAATTTGAAAAATTGATCAATAGCTTGAAAATGCTTTTCATTTAAAAAAAGTATCTGCAGCACTAATGTTAAAAAACCTTTTGACATCAATAGTTTATAATACTGATACTAATGGCTATCACTTATTGAGTACCTACTATATGGCTGGAAATGTGCTAAGCATTTTGCATACATTATTCCATTTAGTTCTGGAGGCCCATGTCTAAACGACATTAATTCATGATTTAGTTAATTGCTCTTAAGAGTTTCAGCTTTAGCCAGGAAGTACATTAGTACTGGATCTGGAAATTGATATCGTGGCTATATAATTAATGTATTCATCCAAATGTTAATTTATAATGGTAGATCTTGGGAACAGAAATATATAATGCTCATTAGCTTAGTCCTGCAAAGTACATATGTGTGTGTGTGTGTGTGTGTGTATCATAGGAATAATTATGAACTTTCCATCTACAGTTCTTAGAGAAATACTATTTTCTGTGTGAAAAAAATCACATTTCTAAATGTGGGCTGGAAATTTATGATACAATAAATCTGTTTGATATACTATTTCTGTCTGTGTATTTCTTTTAAAATCTGACAAAATAAGACATAAAAAGCATATCCTTATGTAGAGGAATGTCAAGGATGGGAAAGTTGCCAGAGTGGAGCCAACACTATCAGATTCCAAAGGAGGGAACCCTGGCTATTTTAGATGGGGTTGGATTTTGTCAAATGCTTTTCCTGTACCTACTAATACTGTCATAAGATTTTTCTTCATTAGCTTGTTTATATGGTGGATCACATTGATTGATACTTGAATGTTGAACCAGCCTTGCACATATGAAATAAATTCCACTTGATTATGGTATATACTTCTTTTTATACATTGTTGGATTAAGCGACTTAATTTTTTTGAGATTTTTGCATCTAAATTCTTGAGAAATGTTGGTTGCAGGGTTGGGTTGGGTTTTTTAATTTTGGCACTGTTTTTGTCTGCTTTTGGTATCAGAGAAACACTGGTCTTACAAAAATAAGTTGGAAAATGTTTCCTCACTTCCTGTTTTCTGGAAGAGATTATATAAAACTGACACTAATTTCCTTAAATGTTTGGTAGACATTTCCAGTGAAAATATCTGAGCCTGGAGATTCTTTTTTGGAAGGTTTTAAATTACAAATTCAATTTCTTTAACAATTTCTTTAAAGGACTAAAGGACTAGATTATCTAGTTCATTCTGGTTGAGTTTGAGTGTTTTATGGTTTTCCTCCTGGCTGTTTTGAAGGGAGAGAGAAGAACATTCAATGAGAGGGTCACATATATTACGAAGATCTTACTATGAATTTGAGAAGTAAAGTATTTTATACTCAGGAATTAACTATTAACTTGTCAATCATAAATCTAAACCATTGTTGAATACAATGTTGAGGAGTTTGTTTGTTTTTCCTTCTTCCAACCTAAATCTCTGATTTTATTGGTTCAATTTTCAGATTGAAAGTAAATGATTCCATTTTTATGCTACCAAGCCCCAAGATCCTAACAAATTTTACTTGGAATTGTAAATGGAGTCTAGAAAATAAAAACCTTCCTCAATAAACTACTAGAATAATACCTTAAATATGTGTTTTTATGTTTACAGCTCTCTTGGTCAGGGATAATAAGGAAAACAGAAATTAAGTATTCAGATTGGGGATTTAGTGCAGGAAATTGATTATACAGACGGTAGAAAACTGAAAGAGCAAAAAGGAAATTGTGAAGTAACCCAAAGATTAATAATTGGGAGAAAATAATTTCTCAGTCCCATTCAGGGCTGCAGAACAAAAGGGAAGACACGTTACAAAAACCTAGGTGCAACCAGGAGCACAAGTGGCTGGCGCTGGGACATAGGAGGTGTTGTGTGGCTGGTGCTCTGGGTTCTGAGGGGGCGCTGGGGGCTGGGCTGGGGCACCTGAACACCAATTTGTTGGTCAAATGATAACTACAGAACAAGAGGGACAACTAATCAGTGACATAATAACCCATTTCAAAGATGACAAATCAAGAAGCCACTGTTGAACAGACGTAAACCTGAAATAAAATATTACAGAATTGACAGCAAAGATACAGATGGACTGGAGATAATTCCGCTGGAAAGTTACAAATTGAAAGTGAGCGCCTATGACGACTTGCACTCACCATGAGGAAACCGAGGGTTTAGCACAGGACCGAGCGCGCTTGTGGAATTTTCGAACAATATCGCAAGTAGAAACAGCAGGATCAATCACGTCTTCCATTGATGAATATTTGAGAAAACACATATACCCATTTTATAAACCTAGTATCTAGAAACGTTTCCTTTTATTTCTTTGGGTTGTTTAGAATTTCTTTCGAGTGGTCTTTACTTTATAGAGAGCAGTCGGTAGCTTAGAGCCTGCAGTAGTAACACTGCAAATTGCACTAAATCAAATTCATTTCACTTAGAATATTTCTGAGAAAAATTAGAGAAAACATAAAATATTATTCCCTTTATAGTAAATAAAATTTCAGATTGTGTTTAATATGATGCTTAACAGGAAGAAGGCCGGATGTATACACTGAAGACTAGTAAAAGCTGTCTTTTACCTTGTTAAAGGTTTTTTGTCCATAGTACCACAATGTTCTCCCTTCTGAGAAAAAAACAGAATCTTCCATTTGACTGTGTTCATTTTTCACTTAGGAACCATTTTCTGAAAGCTCAGAGTGTATTTTTCATGGCATTATACAGAATACCTCTGTAACTTTCTCTTTGAGTTGAAATCAAGTGCTGTTGTTTGCTGATTGGAAATTAAAAATGCACTTAGTGTGCTATCTCCTATCATTAACACCTATCATTAACTTTATCCCTTTAGAAAACATCAACCTGGAGCAAGAAAAGTTTTAGTTTTGCCTATTATAATTATGTCACAATAACCTTTCATGATTTGGTACTGACATTTTTTTTGTTACAGAAATTCAAAATGATACCATTTAATGAGGTTTATGAAAATGTCAATTATCTATGAGCCTCTAAATTTTCTAATAAAAAATAGCATCCAATCAACTGAGTGAGTCTTAAATGATACAGGGAAAGAGAAATTCAATTCTATGACCTAGAAAAGCCATCTGAGTATGCAGCTTATTTTTTTTGTCTAAAAGTCCAACACTAAATGTCCCAATGTTTGAACACCATAATGAAAGACATGTAAGTATAAAACCATGGCAAAACTACTATGGCCTTTTATGTTTGAGTCGAACTTTAAAATGCCCTGGCCTCCTACACTGTTTTCTAAAGGAATTTTTCACCGTGTTTAATTTATTATAAACAGATGTCAACATTTCAACTCAAAATTACAAAATGTCTGAGAATAGCTATATGACGACTATAGGAAGTATGCTTCTAAACTTTCAGAAAGTAACTCCTGAATGAAGACAACACTCAAATGTAAGTTTCCCTGGTTTATCTGACTGGAGTAAAAATTGTATATTTTTGCTCAAAAATCTCTAATTTAACCAAGTAAAAAATAGCTGTTCTATTCCTCAACATAGAACAGCTTTTCCAAGGCAAGAGAAAAAGACTAAAGTTTTGTGGCAAAAACTGGCAATCTTGTCTTTTGCTGTTAAAAAGCCTATGGTTAGTGATGGCTAAAGAAATGTGAAGACTAGAAAATAGTGGGAAGTATTATGTATAATTCTTTCCACACATGTAAATGGAACAAAGGGTGCAGTAGTGTAAAAATGCCAGAAATAAGCAAACCAATGATGTGTTCTTTGTTGATACACATAAATCCTTTGCATCAAATTATAGTATTTTTTTTTCAAGTGCATTGGGCTACATTGAAAGAAAGTTAATCATTGGGGCTGGAAGTTAATAATATATGATAAAAAAAAGTTCCTCCAGCAAAACCCATGTTTGCAAATGAGCTACCTCATCCCAATTACTCATCTGTTCAAATGTCACATTCATGTCACAGCATTGAAGATGTAAACTGAAATTAGGTGTCTAATTTCTAGCTTCCTCTTTTGATTAGCTATTCACCAGGCCATGGAGGGACCATAACACTAAGTATTTGTATCCCCAGTTCTTATCTGTGATGTTCTGTTCTGGAACTTGTTGGCTTTAACAATGAAGGGATGCTGTGGTCCTATCCCATCAATCAGAAATAATATAGGAGTCTTTCTTTGACTAGAGGAATTTAAATGACTTTCAGCTGGAACAAGCAGAGGGGTAATGCTCATTAAATTAGGACTTTTCCTATAATTACTTATATTGTAAGAAGTTACTCAAAGAACACTTAAATATAACCTTTCAAAATCATACAACAGATCTTCATTCATGCAATCAGTCAAGTCATCTGTATTTGGATAATGAAAATCTAGGATAACTCTAGCCATACAAACTCTTCCTCTGGCTTTCTCCATCAGAATAATACACATTGGAAATCTAAATTCCAAACACTTCCTCTACTGAAGATTGTGAGATTTAGTGCAAGCTACTTACCTACAACTTTTTGAATGTTTACAGAATGTGGACCCTTGATGATGCAAGACTTTCACTTAAAAGATAAAATTATAGTTCCAAAACCTAAATTGTCCCAATTTAATCTTCAAAATAAGAGTTGATTCATGTTTTCAGTTTATTGCCATTCACAAAACATTTTATAAAATAGTATGGTAGACTTCCACTTCAACACCATAACATAAAAAACTTCACAGTGCAAGAAAGTGATTGCTATTGAGTAGGAAGATCTCTAAAGTCAACCAGTATTTTAAGTACGGCGGAGAATATTTTGCGATTCTTCCTAAAAAATGTTGGCACGTTCATTAAATGCCCAGGTTATAAAAATCATGTAGTATCAATTCTTATCCTTCAGTATATTTTTATATCTACATAGCATCGCATTAAATGTTGGTGGGCAAAAGAATGTAGAAATCTAAAAACATTTCAGGTTTTAATGATTTAATACCAACTAGCAAAAATCTTCCCCCCAAATATTTTTGTACGTAATTTTCTGTCCATTACCACAATAACAAGGTAAAGAGCCATGATACCTTAAAACGAAGCTAAAGGAAAATATTTCACTTTTCCTTTAAAAGACAATTTCTTAGCCCTTAAAGAAGGACGACTTTAAAGTTTGGGGTGCGAGTAGCATTTCATAAGTAAAAACATCCAATTATGTCAGTTGTACAACTGTTTCATTTAGGAAAGTGGATACTTTTGATTTCAAATGATTCTAAAATATTTTGTCATTACAAGACAATTGTCATTTTTTTTTCTTCAGGTCCCGGGAGCAACAGTGTGTCCGTGGGCGAGGCTCTCAAGCTGAACACCTACCACCTGCCTCCGCCCCTTTGAACTACTTTTTCGCTGCCCCTAAGACTCCAGCGGAGGCGTCCGAGCAGCCGCAGTAAGAAGCGACCCAGAACTGCGGAGTGATCCCAGGTGAGGCGCCTCTGCGAAGGCTGAGGGAAGGCGGCCAAAAATGTCGGCGGGGGAGAGGAAGGAACTCGCGCCCTCGCTCGCCCCGGACGCTGTTAGAATCCGAACGGGAACCGTTCGCGCCGGCAGTTGTAGCCTCCTCCCCCAACCCCCTCTGCCGCGGGCCCCACAAGCTCCCGGACCTGGTGAGCCGGTCTGGTCACAGCCACCGCGGACCTCCGGGACAGAAAAGCGTGAAAAAAAACTGTAACACACTGAATAAAGCCATCCGGTGGCATATCCTGTTGTTTTCCACAAAATCCATAGTAAAGGAACAAGAGGATAGGTAAAAAATCCTTGATTCCAACATTTGGTTAGTTTAGCTCAGAAGCCCCGGGCACGTCACACGCCCCGAGTCTTAGGATCATCTTCGCTCAGACCCGGGTTCCAGATTAATTGCCCTCCAACATCCCTCCTAACTTACAAATTTATATATAATTGTTAATCTTAAGGAATCCTTTTGAGAGTGAAGTGTTTCAACTCAATGTATTTTCCAGATAAAGTTTCCCCCGTTTAAGTAGAAAAGCTGTTCTTTAAACATTTAAAGTCTTACCGCTAAAATTTATTTTCAATATATTTCCCTGTTACCTTAAAAGAAGATGAGGTATGCCTAGGTAATAGTCTAACTTCATGGTGTCCCAGAGCTGGCGCCGGCCGAGCGACCAGCGTGGGCCCTGGCTCCAATCTGCCCAATTCTGGGCCACACTCGGAGTCTCCACAATAGAGGGGCACCACCTGCTCTGCCTCTCTGTTTCAAAGCCCCACACACTTACCATAGTATATCATACCAAAATATCTGCAGACTACAAATTACCACGCAAATGCGAAAGTGTTGTGACAAGCTCAAAGTGACTTTTTTCCTGATAACAAAGTCTAGATCTCTCTTACAAACTTTTGTTCTTTGTCAAGACGTGCATTCGTGGTTTTGATCCTTCTGTTGCATACTCTTCTCCAGCAGTTCTTTTGTCTCCTGCTTCAAATTATGTTTCTAATTGGACCAGACTTGAGATTCAGGGCATCTCTCGTGACCTTTGGATAGGTGAAAACCAAAACCTAAAGAGCTCTGTTACTTGAGTAAATGTGGTATCATCATTACTGACTTTAAAAAAATGGTTCCTGCCCTGAGCGGGTGGTTCAGTTGACGGGAGCTTGCCCATTCACCAAAAGGTTGCGAGTTCGATTCCCTATCAGGGCACATACCTAGGTTGCAGATTAGATTCCCTAGTCAGGGTGTGTGCAGGAGGCAACTGATAGATGTTGCTCTCTCACATCAATATTTTTGGGTTGTTTTTTTTTCTTTCCTTCTACCTCTATCTCTAAAAATCAATAAACATATCCTTGAGTGAGGACTTAAAAAAAAAAAAAAAGGTTCCTGAAGTAGGTAATGCATCAGACTCACCTAGGGAGTGTTTTAAGAGAGTTTAAGTCAGCATGTCTGGAGTAGGACCCAGAAAAGCTCTGTTTCTCAAAAGCTCTCCCATTTAATCTCAACAATCGATAGTTCAGTTTCTGGGACTCACTGGTTTGCCCACAATTTCTCCTTTAGAATGTTGGCAGCTGCTAGTTTGTTTTAGTATAAAAATTTCTCCTTACATTAATTACAAGCACAAAGTAGACTGCCCATGATCTAGGCTTAGATCCATAGGGAACTAGTCATTTTAATCCTTTGCAATAAAATTTTAAAATGGCAAGTTAACTTCAGAGCTAAGATGATGCATGTGTATGAAGATGTTTTAAAGTGGATGGTTCCATACTCACAGGACAACTGTTTCTGTTTTACTTGTAGTTAGTCACTCGTAAAATTGAAGACTGTCTTACTACAGTTGACACTACTAAGTAAAGGATGGCAGAACTCCACCAAATAAGAGAAAAATGGTTAACTTGCTAGTCAGTATTAGTAAGAAAATGTTTCCAGCAGGCATAAGTGAAAGGTATTTTACAAAACCACACAGCTTCCTGTAGAAAGCCAAAGACTTACACTCTTTCAAAGTTTACCATAAAGGGGAAAGTTGACCAAAACTACAGATGTTAAAAATATGTTCAATTAACTGTGAAAATATAAGTGTCAAATAGGTACAATTTCATTCTTTCGGAGGTTTAACTGGCATAAAATGGAATTCACTTTCCATTTATTTTACCCTAATAGTTGTCAAAAAGACCCATGAAGTATTTGGTAAAATGTAGTTCTCAACACCATCCCTTCCAAATTTAATACAAAAGCCACATATGGATTTCCTAGGGGTCCCAAGTGTATCTAGGCACTGCGGAACGTTGTCATGTCTTTTGGTTCTCTGCTGGGGACACACCAGTCATCAGCCTCATGGTTGGTGTTGTAATGCTTCCAGGCAGCTTTGTTATACACTGGGAGTCTTTCTATGGATTCTGTTGACAGAGCCTGTAAGAAAAGCAGGACCTAAGTCTGGCATGTTTTTAGAATCCATTATTTAAGAAAATATACAGTGGCAAAAGGTCACTAAAAATTAAACAACGCTTTACTTGTTTTGTATTTTATTAATCATAAAACCATCTCCATGAATTTTTAAATAGGGTACATACTTGAAACAGATTATTGACCTAGTCTATGGCACTGCCTGGTTTGCATGTTGACTGAACGTGTTGCCTGGAAGCAACTGGATTGAAGTTTTATACAGTGTAATACTTGCCTCTTATAAAGCATGACCAAGAACAGAAGTTGATTAATTTAAAAAGTCTTGTAAGTATAATCATTTAATAAACTTTTAATTATTTATTAGAATAAGCACTTTTTTCAGGCACTGTACTTTTAAAAATTCAATGTAATATTATTGTCAATATATATAAAACTATGTCTAAGGCATTTTGGTTCTATGTCTAAGGTCTAATGGTTCAGGCTTTTGCATGAACCATTTCTGGCCCTGGGTTTGATCCCGTCTTTTCCTCCTGCCATCAAAGCCACCAATTTCAATTAAAACATGTGTTTCTGCAGCATGCATAATTGCATATTTCCAACATGTTACTATTAATTCACTCTTCTATTTCACCTTCCTGTAAATCACTGGAACTTGAAATAAACTCATTATCTCCTTCAAGTGGGGATATTTAAGTAGAATTTCAACCTTAAGTCATAGGCATTCCCCAAGATATAGAAAATATTGAACTATAAATTTCATTCTGATAATCCGTAGGAAGGTATTTGATGTTGACAATTTTAATGATTCTGTAAGACTTCCTGTCATCTATTTTTTCCAAAATGGAACTAAAAACCTTTCACTGATATATTCCCTTTAAATATGCCAGAACTGCCAGCACCGCTTGATTTATAGACTGGATCAAAGATGCTACATTTAGTGATAAAAAATATTGCCTTCATGTTGCCCTTTTTAAGTTCCTTAAGATTGAGATGGTTGAAAAGAAGAAAGAAAAAGAACTATGATCTTGAAAGAATTTAACCTTTTCAGATTATTTTTTTCCAGTAGAAAGTCTTCACCATTTCCTGTAAAATGGGTGCCATCTAGTGGCCAGAACAAGAAACTAGCATCACTGAATAATTAGGCATTGAACACATTAACCAGTCCAGTGGATTGATAGAACTCAGTGCTCTCTACCCCTATAAAATATACTAATTCCTGCATTAACACATGGAACATCCAAAGCCAGTAGGCTCAGTGCTTCTGCTCCCATCTGGTGAGCAATAGCCTTACCAAGAATCACCTGTGCTTGTTCCCAAATCTGTTTATGCAATTACACCTGTTATTGTAAATACATAATTTGATAGTGTATAACTTAAAGTGCTGGAAAATAAAAGGGGGAGGATTCTTTGAAAACTAAGATGAATGTTTTGAAAAAAACTCATGAAGTAAAGTCACATAAAAATTGATGTCAAATCAGAGCAGAATACATTTGTAAAGGATTGCATAAAAATTAAAGGATTATGCACTTGGTTGTTTCTTTGTTTAAAGAAACCAAAAAAAAAAAATTGTAAGTACAGCTTCTGCAAGGAAGATAACTGAAACTTCAATCTGTAGAACCAAAGAAAAGTCCTGGGCAATACACCAAAAAACTAGTAGATCAATGTCCATTCATGTGCTTTATGTTAAAATTAAATCTGTGAAACATAAAACTTTTTATGAGTCCCCACTTTAACCCTCCTTTTTTTCTATTAATAACCATAATCCTCGTCATTACACATAAAAGCATTTCTTTTCCCAGAGTCAAGGAGATAATTTGTCAAAAAAAAAAAAATGAGGTCTTATGTAAAAAACCATACACCTCTATTTTAATAGTGTGAGATAGAGGGAGTTTTCATTACAGTTAAATATTGGCATCTTTTCTTCTTACCAAAAGAAGTCTAGGTCACTCAACAAAACTATAGTTACTACCTTAATATAGATCACTGCGTCTGTTCCATAGCCCTCCAGTGAATACAGCTTCAGGTCTCCTTGGAAGTACTGTGCATACAGACGGGAGATGGGCAATCCGTAGCCAAAACCAGCCTGTTGTGTTAGAAAAATGAAATTCTATTCAGAAAGCCACAAACTGAAATACTTATCTAATGAAAATAAATGCTACTGAATACCCCAGGACTATCAGAGCCTGTATCTAAGAGACTTCCTAGTACCTAAGTATTTCTAACATCAAGCTGGACCCTAGCCAAGTTCTACGTTAGATGACTCCCCTTGTGTCACTTAGAAGTCTTCATTTTTCTTTCTACTATAAAATGACTTGAGGGGTCTGGAAGCACACTGCTTTGCTTCATTGGCCTGCTCTAGAGTATCCCAATACTGCTTTGGGCAATATCACACAAAACATGTTCTCTCTTTTAGGAGGAGCAAGAGTAGAAAAAGCCCTGTCACAACCTAACAGATACATCTTGTGACTTCATACCCTGAATTTCCAGCCTGTGTTCTGAACCTGGAGACATCCATAACAGCTCTACTTTCTTAATTCTCACTTATAGCAGGTCACTCCCCTGCTTAAAAATTTTCAAACCTCAGCCCCATCCCCCACCACTAGCTTGAAATAAAAACCCAAGCTCATAAAAAGAGCTTTCAAGACCCGATAAGATCAGGTCTCTGCCTCCTACTTTCCAGTCCAACTGAACTAAAGCTCCTGCTCTTAAGTTCTTCAAATATATGCTATTTTTTACTTCTGTGTCTTTGTTCATCCTGTTCCCAGTATCTGGAATGACCTTTACTTGAATAAATCCTACCATCCTTTAATACAAAGCAAACCTTAGATAATATAAAAACAGCTTTTTATCACCAAATGAGTGTTCAGTGACATTCTATTTAACACTTTAGTTAAGAGCTAATATGGATTTGGGAATGAAAGTGCTATTAACAAATCCAGGCTCTGACTTTACCTGTCTCCACCACTTATCTGACTTTTCTAACCAGTTTCTCTTCATCCCTCCAAATCGACTATCCATTTTCCACATTCCTCCTTGCCCTGGGAGGCTGAGCTGAATGGGTGACGATGGATTCCCATGCCCTCTGCTTCCAGTGGGTCCGGCCAGTGGGGCACTCGTAGGAGTTCAGGGGGAGTCACGTCAGGGTATCCACTCCCCTTCAGGCTGAGGCTGCTTCCCTTGGGCAGGTTGGGCCCCTTGTTCTACTAAGTAGCTGCTCTACAACCTTCCCCTTCTGCGGGTTCTACTAACTTCTCCCTTTGATTCTGGGTCTCCACCCAGAGGCACCTCCACTGCTGGAGACCTGGATCCCTGTGCTATCCCTACTCGTAGCTCTGTAATTTGTCTCTTTGTAAATGAGCCTTCCTTAATTATCATAATTTGAATGCTTTATCTCTTTTCTGTTGGGACCCTGATACATCAATTAGTTCCAAAAACGGGCCCAAGGAAGCGGCACAAGCAGATGGTTCAGGATGCCGTGGCCTGATCTGCTTCATAACGGCCTCTCCCTCGATCACACAGGCGGACTCATGGATCTTCCCCTACAGGTAGTTCAGAGAAGAAAAACGGCCTAGTCCCTGATGGATCTACACGGGACGCCAGCGCCAGCCAGCACTGGACGGCCCTTTCACTACAGCCTCTCTCAGGGCTGGAATAAATCCTACCCATGGGCAGACCCTGAGGTGCAGCACCCACATGGCCTCACAGGGGGCAAACCACTGGCTGGCTGGTCAGGGACTTGGAGAAAATGAAATTGGACAGCTGATGAGAAGGAGGGTCTGCAAGACAGAAACGGGGACGGTCCCCTCTGAGTGGGCTCACAGTATAAAGATGTTCCACGCATGCAGACGCCCACCAGAAGGCAGCACATGGAGGAAGCTCTCAGCAGTCAGGCAGACAAGATGAGCACACCTGTGGATATCAGGCAGTCTTTCTCCAGCTGCCCCAGTGTTTGCCTCCTGGGTCCACTTACACAGTGATCATGACGTCAGCACGGAGGCTCTGAAAGAGCTTCACAAGTCTTCCCCTCGGTGAGGCTGTGTAGACACACAGGGAAGACTGTGCCATGTCAAGCCTCCTGTTTTCTTAAAAATTCACACAAATTCTAGCCCTGGCTGGTGTGGTTCAGTGGATTGAGCACCAGTCTGCGAACCAAAAGGTCACTGGTTCGATTCCCAGTCAGGCACATGCCTGGGTGGTGGGCCAGGTCCCCAGCTGAGGGCCTCCAAGAGGCAACCAACTGATGTGTCTCCTGCACTTTGCTATTTCTCCCCTTCTCTTTCTCCCTTCCTTTCCCTCTCTCTAAAAGTAAATAAATAAAATCTTTTTTAAAAATTCACATAAGTTCTGCCTCCTAAACAACAAACATTTAACATGACTTTGTGCCAGGCACTATAAGAGGTATTTTTACATAGAATCAAAGTCAGCCCTTACAGTAACTCAGTTTTTAAAGTTGGAGAAACTGGGGTATTAAAAGGTCCATAATTTTCCCAAAGCTGCACAGCTAAAATGTGGTGAAGTCAGGAATGGAACCAGACAATCTGGATCGAGTCTGGACTAGTATGCTACACCCTCTCCACAAAAATTCTACAATATTTGTTTACAACAAAAGCAGTATATCCCTTCCCTCCCCTTACTTCTAGAGCAAAATTAGAGTCTAAGAAGATGCTCATGTTTATTATTTGACCTTGTCTGCCCCTTAGGGCATGGATGCCTATCCCAGGCACCACATATCTATATTGGAGAAACTCATTACTACATTAATCATTTTAAAAGCTTTATAAGACATGAACCATATTACAGTTGTAGCTACAGCATTTGTGCTATATAACAAGTAAAACTATTATAATGAAGTCTTTCATAACTTCCTAGAGTTTAAAATAGATCCATCTCATACTGTGTTTCATCATGTTACAGCATAGCTCCAGTGTATGTGCCACAGAAGATTCCAAACCTAGAAAAGCAGTTCTTCCAGAATTACCGGTCAGAGATTTGGCAAAGCGCTTTTCTGGGGGGTAGGGAACAGGGATGGAGTCAATTCAAAAGTTAATCTTATTAAACCTGAAAATAGGTGACTATTAGGATGAATAAAAAATATCAGCAAAACAATTATAATTAGAGCCATTTCCAGGTTGGTGGTTAAACTGGTCAGACCTCTAGTCTTATTCCTGAGTCTCAACTATGAAAGCTTTCTGTTATAAGTTCTTGAGGGAAAAAAAAATCAACACTGAAGATTAAATCAATGGTAATCAGCTACCAATAAAATTGCTAATTTAGTCTTTACATTAGAAATAGTATATCAAAATGCAGTTTACCATATGAAAACTACTGACATATGACTATCATCTTGGCAACAAGACCTCTAAAACAATACTCTCTGTCTTGCGCTCTTCAGTCAAAAGAAAAAAATAACCAAATGCTGTTTAAATTTAGAGGAAATTGTTTTTTCCTAATAGCTTCTTCTTCCTTGTGGTGTACCCTACATAATGGCTTAACTGATTTATTTGGTAGCCAGTTTGTTGGGGGGGGTGTTGGTAATTCATAAAAACACACTGCATTACTTCTTCGTCACATACCAGGGGCACTGCGCGCGATGTCTCGACACGAGGCCGGGGTGCCGTTGAGTACATGTAGTTGAAGAGTCTGTCAATTTTCCTCAAAGGGACACCACCTCCTCGGTCACTCATCTAAGATGAGAAAGGATCGTGCACTATGACCAAGTCCCATAAACAGCAAAATACCGACATATACTCAGTGTCACAGTTTAACTGCTGGCCGGAGAGTAAGGCTTTTCAAAACGAATATCATGCAATCGAGTTGCCAATGTAAACATTCCCCTCACTGCTGGACTTAACTCATCTAACACATAATACATAATAAACTCCATCATGATACAAATTCCGTGTGGCGACTTAGTGTATTGACTGAAGTCACACTAACATGGCAGTATTACACAGAATGCGGCATAAACTAAGCCCATCTTGGATGTAAAAATAAATTTATTATTCCTTTAAGTTGGGCAGTTTTACAACCAGATGAAAAGTGCATAAACCTGCTGACCCAACAATGTTTAACTTAAAAAAGAAATCAGAAGAGTATGCAAAGAATGTGTAAGAATGTCCATCACAGTAGTATGGAGAAAAGCTAAAACTGGATTACAACCTAAATAGAGGACTATTTGAGAAAACTAGTGAACATTGTAATATAGAATACTCTTTAGCCATTAAGTATTATCTAGACCTGTATGTATTGGCATGAAAGATGTTCACAAAATCTTGTTAAATAGAAAAGAGTTATGAAGAATGTATTATATTCTAATTTTGTAAAAGTTAAATTGTAGAAAGTCTGTAATGACATATAATAGTTTGGTCTATGGAATTATGAGTGATTTTCTTCTTTGGGGTTTTTAGCTTCTGAATTTTTTTTCACAGTTACTTCTATTATAGGGGAAAAAACAGTATAATTTACATTTTCAGGGAGGAAAAAGCGTAACCATCTTATTGTGTTGCACAACCTCATCTACCAGCCATTTCACAGCACAGACTCCTAGACAACCTTCTGGTGAGTCTATAAAGTACACAGGTTTTTATATTGTGCTGATGTCATTTTTCCAACTCAAATCATATGGTAGACTGGATTTAACAATTTCTTTTCACACTGTCTTCATTTTGTTTTCCTTCACAGTTAACAAGGACTTATTTTCCCAGCTATTGTATACCTTCTCATCTAATCTACCACAGCCATTTTCCTTTGTTACAAAATCTAAATTGATTCTACTATCCATAATATTATCACAGCTGTCATATACAAACTTGCTTTTAACATGGGTATATAGATATGCATAGATAAAAAAATAGTTCTGAATGCTATGTATTAAAATGTCAATAGGCTAGATGGCTTCTAGTTTTTACATATTCTTTAAAAATCTTTACAGTATGTTTATACAGAAAGTCCTCACTTAATATTATTGATAGGTTCTTGAAACTGTGGTACAAGGAGGCTAATCTTATGGTAGGCTAATTGATATAAACAAGAGGTAAGTTCCTATGGCATCCATCAAGGTTATAACTAAACCATGTTAGATAAGTGATGTTACCCGAGGGCCCATTGTATATTTCTGACATAATTAAAATCACACAACTATTTTAACTTATAAAATAAAAATCTGCTTTGAAATACCATTTGAACACTTGCCTCTGATATATCTATAATTTGATAATTGCAGTATAAAAATATACAAGGGCTTTATTAAGAACTTGTCAGTTGCATCATGCCAGAAATTGTTCTTGGCTATAAATTCAAAGCCCTGTAAAGAGGATTATTTTAGTAAGATGAATAAAATGGTCTGTGTATTTTCTGAGATCCATCAATTTGTTAATTACTCATCCTTTAATGCTCTGCTGCACATTTGCTGGTTGCATGGTAAATATGAGGGTTCCATAAATATTAACTAAGTAAACAACATAATAAAATAGATACAAAGATAAAAAGGTAGAATTCAATAAATTTCCTGATTTTCCTTAATCTTCTGGCACCCAGCAGTTATAAAACAAGAGGTGGCTTCTAGCCATAGGGAAGTATGAGAAAAGCAGGAAGTGGAGCAGAAAGGACAGAGGTGACTTTGAAAGGTTTCTTCTTAAAGGGTTGTAAACTAAGCCATAGGAATATAGTTAAAAACTGATATGGGGTAAATAAAGGTAACCTCCTTTGCTTTGCAGCCAAAAACACCATAAACTGGAACCAGTAGATTTTTTGAAGTGGTCAAAAGAGTTCCCAAGAGAGTTGGAAGAGATGATAGTATACCAGAGGATCTTAGTTGTTTGGGAAGAGAAAGGAGGAAATAATGGGGGAAGAGGGAGTCAGAGATTTGGTCAGTGCATTTTTAAGACAAGAAGAATGGCATTCTGATGACAAATATACTGAGAAAGAGATGTGGGAAATTGAACAGAAAAACCTCTGATTGAGGTAATTTGAAGGAAAAAAATCTAGACTCATGGGAACATAAGATGATGCCAAGGAAAAGGAAAGGCATACACAGTGGGAAGTAATGTCCACAGTAGGGCTGAGGAAGAAAAGCTGGCCAATTATTTTTAAAGTTTTCTATTTAGTGCATGAAATCACCACTTCTCAATGTCATCCAACAAAGAGCTGCCACCCCTAACTTCCTGTTCCCGTTACACTGGTCTCTCTGGGCCAGTTCATGTGAATTTCAGGTCCAAAGGAAAGGAAGCTCGGCTAACGTGATGACAGCTTTGAAGGCAGGAAATTTACTAACCCTGGCCCTCACCAGAGGCTCCTGAAGTCTCTTACTCAACATCTTTTTCCATATCAGGTTTATAAAATCAACAGTGAATGAACCAAGACATTTACATTTTAATTTAAAAGACATGTGGCTATACCCCTACATTATTTATTGAATATAGACCAAACACAAAACCTGAAAGGGCAGCAAGAGTTCTAAGACCAAAAAAAAAACAATTCTTTCATAGGATTTTTCAGCAGAGGGTGAAAAATGTCCATAATTTGAATAAACTATAAGAATGGAGGAAAAAAACCCATACCTTGATCCATAAAGTCTACAGTAAGTGATGAGGATGAAATCTCTACTGAAGAAAATTAAAGCAAGCACTTAACACACATAGAGATAACAAGAGTAGATGCAGTCATGTGACCTTGGATGTGAGGAGAGTGGAGGGAGAGCCCAATATACAGGGAGGGCTTTTATAAAGGGTCTAGAACAGTCTATTCAAGACCCTTACAAACATTTTTAACAGCTTTACTGAAATATAATTCACATACCATAAATTCACCCCTTTAAATTCAATGGTTTTTAATATAGTCATAGATATGTGCAACCATCAGCACAGGCATTTTTAGAATATTTTTATCACCTCAAAAAGAAACCCTGGACACTTTACTGACAACACTCTTAAGCAACCACTAGTCTACTTCTTGTCCCTTTATATTTGCTTATTCTGGATATTTCATATGAATAGAATCCTATGATATATGACCTTTTGTGATTCGTTTCTTTCACTTAGCATAATGTTTCCAATGTTGCAGCAACCATGTTGTAGCATGTACCAATACTTCATACTTTTTATGGCCAAATAATATTCTATCAGATGAATATATATTAATTTAACTGATCCATTCATCAGTTGATACACATTTGTGCTGTTTCCATTTTTTGACTATTGTGAACAATGCTGCTATGAATATCCATGTATAAGTTTTTGCTTGAATATCTGTTTTTAAACCTTCAGAGTATACACATACCTAGAAGTGGGAATGCTGGGTTTTTATGAACCTTTCTTTATAACAAACAGACAGATTCCCTAAGCAAAGCCTGTCTGTCCACCAGCACAGAATGAGTCCGCTGAGTGCCTAGGTGATCCATGTGGTGATGGATGACGACAAGTGGCAATGGAAAGCACCTGCAGATCACTACGCCAAAGCACAAGAAACTGAAGCAGGAAAAGCTATAAGAAAGATCATGCTGTATCATAAGTGAAACTCCAAAACAGAAGACATATGGGACTTATTTTGAATCAAGTAAACCTTAGTGAGCAAGTAGCTGACACATAACTAACCAAAAAATAGACACACATTAGCATCTGGGCTGGGGAAAAAAGTGATGCAGTCACATTACTTTTTCAGCAAACAGATGGTACAGCCATATATTTATTTGTGCCTCTTTTAAATGAACAGCCAAGAAACAGAAAAAAAGAAACTCAGAGATAACAGTGCAGGCAGCAGAGATAATTTTTGGACAAAAAAGAAAAAGCTATCAATACAAGATAAAACTGAAGTGGAATACTATAAAAAAGAATAGTAAAAAGGAAGTTTATAAGATAATGAAACTATAAAGTCAATAGAATGGCTGGGAGTTTAAAGTCAAGAAAATCTGACAAAGTAGAGTAAAAAGTTAAACAGGAGAAAAAAGGGAGGATCACTTCATGATCCCAACACCTCCAAATATGACACTCAGAAAGCGAAACAGTAGGGTAGAAAGTATCAAGGAAACAGTAAAAATTCTAAATTCTAAAGGGTCCAGCTCAATGAGTAAGGAAAGGCCCACAGCACATCACATCATCATGAAATTTCAAAACACAGCTAAAAAAAAAATCTTAGAAGCTCCAGCTAAACAAAACCTGTCAACTAAAACTAGTCACATACAAAGGAATGGGAACTGAAATAAGCGTAAGTCTTTTCAGAAGGGATAGCAGGAATGATGTCAGCAAAAATAGTGGAGAAAAGAGTTCCAAAAAGTCTCTCCTCCATCAAAGCACCAGGAAAAAGGTAAAAACTGTCAGAATCAACTGTGTTCAGCTCTAGAAATTAACCAAAGTCTTACAGCAATCTTGAGAGCAAGAAGTCAAGAAAAATGACAGTGAGATTTGTGGGTTGTTTTTTTTTTTAATGTTTTCTTTTTCTTTCTTTTTTTATTGTTGTTCTATTACAGTTGTCCCAATTGTCCCCCTCCCCCACAGTTCTCCCCTGCCCCGCCCACCAACCCTGCCCACCCCCAGCTCCCACAGTCAATCCCCACCCTGTTGTCCATTTGCCTTATTCCCACCCCCTATCAATAATATGCAATCAGAATGAAAGCAGTAGCCTGGCAGCCACTGCATTTTTCTGACCCAATTCTGATCTCCCAATGCAAAAAGTGTTGCATGCATCCCTT